ATCTCTTTCGGTCAATGAAACAAGCAGTTTCTGGACAGCAGTTCAAACAAAAGCAGGACATCGAAAATTGGGTTGCCAACTATTTTGCCTCTAAAAATCTTCAATTTTACAAGGACGGCATTCGTGATTTGGAGCGACGTTGGAAAGAAGTTATTAATGCTTCTGGTGAATACATTTGATTTTGAAAGTGCTTAAATAAATTTTTCTGTTATGTCAAAAATGATCAAAAAATAACCTTTCATATTTGCCAAGCTAATAGTTCTAGTCTTGTTTGAGTTGAAGAAAATCGATTTTCACATCGCTCAATCCCTCTTTCAGAAGCACTTTTAAACAATGTTCGTATGCCTGAAATTGTAAAGATTTACACAGAAAGTAATTGTAAATTGTAAAGATTTTTGTGATTCTTAAGTTTTGGGGCACTTACTTTTTCTCCAATTTTCCCATTTTTTAAGCGAACCAAACAATCTAGACGATCTCGATCTAGCCGCGTTGAAATGTCGTATCTAAAAGGGATTGTTGGATGTGTTGAGCTGTTGGGCTGAAATAGAAAGTCTTTTCAATAATTAATCAACCTTCCATCATAAAGAGCAACCATTTCTCCATTGTGAAAGAGTTTCTCAAGGATTTTCTTTGTTGTCCAATCTTGTGGGAGTCCTTTAAGTTCCAATCTGCTTCGATCAAACTAAAAGTTTTCCCTTTTTTGAGAAATTTTTGTTAATCTTTGTTTAGAAAAGTACATGGAAAATTTTCTAAAACTTGCAGAGAATGTCTTTGCTTTCGTGGCTGAGAGCTGTTGATCTTTGTCCTAAAATTCAATACCATTCCACTATCAAGCTCGTTTTAGGTGTCTTGGCCAATCAAAAAAAACTTACTTCAACCTCTTTCTCTTCCTTTTCAGTCAGAAACTCTCTTTCCAGAAGATTTTCACCGTCTTTCCTCCTTTTCAATGTCTTTATGGTTCCTAGAAGTTGAAACTAATCAAATGAGATCTAAACTAAACTAAACTCTAAACAACTAACCAAACGAAATCTATCAAACCTAAAAAAGCCATCGAAACAACTCCAAATGAGATCAATGAAAGGCAGTTCGGACAGTTTTCTCTGAAAATATTTAATTTCTATTGGGTTGGTGAATTGAAAACTGCGGGACTTTGAACTAAAACTTATTCTACATAAAACCCTCAATACATTCCAAATAATTTCCATTATTATTGACGACTTCTGCCCATTTTACAGGCAATTTGCGGATTCCTCTTTCTGCGTAGGATTTTGGTTTGTGTGTGAGACAAGTGTGACACTCAAAAATGGAGGACTGGATTTTGATCCCAGTTTGAGCACTTTCTTCAAAAGAAACCCATTTTGGTGCCAATGGAAAAGTTGTAGAGAATCAAAAATTAAGCTTATATCCAAATTTCCAAAAAGATACACTTAGTAGTTTCGCTTAAAATGCAAGTTTTGTGAAAATTCGTCAATTTGCCATTTCTTGAAAACCAGTTTTTGAATCGTTCTGAAAATTTGGATATAAGCTTGATTTTTGACTCTCTACAACTTTTCCATTGACACTAAAATGGGTTTCTTTTGAAGAAAGTGCTCAAATGCTCAAACTGGGACATCTCCAGTCCTCCATTTTTGAGTCTCACACTTGTCTCACACACAAACCAAAATCCTACCACGAAAGAGGAATCCGCAAATTGCCTGTAAAATGGGCAGAAGTCATCAATAATAATGGAAATTATTTGGAATGAATTGATGGTTTTATGTTGAATCAATTTTAGTTCAAAGTCCCGCAGTTTTCAATTCACCAACCTAATATTTTTCCTTTCAACTTACAACTTCTGAAAACACTTTACGCACACAGAATGCCCACACGGGACCATTGTCATCGGGTATTTCTCCTCGATTTCATCTAAACTTTCTTTCTTGTGTAAATTTAGAAACAACTTGCATTCTTGATCACAGATTGGACAAATCAGATCAGCAATTCTCAAAGTTAAGTCTTCTTTATAACTAAAAGTCAATGTCACCATAAATTGCTCAATCAACTCAACCTTGAGTGAACTTTTTCAAGTTCTTTAGATTCTTTTTGAAGTTGTAGAAGATTTATGGGTTTTGGCAAATCGGTTTGTATTGATTGGTCTTTTGTTAGGAATGATTCCAAGAACGAGAGGCTTTTTTTCATCTTCTGTCTGCTTTTTTTCCTCTTCTACTGTTGTTTCCATATTTGTTGAAATCTCTTTTTTCTTCGATTTCCTTGTTTTCTTTTTCTCTTCACTAGGCTTCCATAGATGCATGATCTGAAAATTGAAAAATGCGGTGATAAAGACTTTTTTTGTCATTATAATTTACTACTAAAATTCTCGAACTCTCTTTTTCTCTTCGTCACTCGCATTTCTTTCTGGAGACGTGTAAGCAAACTTTCCATCATCAGAAAACCTTAAAAGAAACTTTTTAAAAACACTTAATAACTAAAAAAAATGGAATCTTTTACATACCAAACTGAGTTAACATCACAACTTTTAAGAATTTGTGCCGGCATAAAGTACAAAACGACCATTGTAAGCGTTGTTTCGATCCTCAGAGAACTTAGGATCTTTTCCTATAGCTGTTCTTTCTTAGAAACATTCAAAATAAACTTTGTTTGGTGTTGGCGGCTTTGAGTTGAGAGCCTGTAGTTTCTGACCAAATTGCTTGAAATCTAAAAGTTGAGTATTTTTTTTGTTGCCTGACAAGACAAAGACTCTGTGATTTCAAGTTTCTCTTGGCCAATTCCTGGGGAAGCACATTTTTCACATAATCCATCAAAATATCACATCGTTCTTCCATAATAGCAGAGCTGGAAATAATTTAAAGTGTAAGAAACAATTCCAAGTAAGCTGCAAGTCGAGCAATGGCTATGATCAGATTATTCATTGAACTTAAAGAGCTAGAAAACTTGGTAGCTTGAAACACCTAGCTTCAAAGTTGTAAAAACATGCACTCTAAATTTGACAGACTCAACTTCTAAAATACGTCTTCAACATTAAAGTTTAAAAAGCTCAAAAACTCACCACTCGGAAACACTTTTCCCCGTTTTTCTTTTTGCCTGGCCAAGTAAGCTGAGAAATTCGTTTAAATTTGAAGCCCAATCGGCTGTTAGCGAGTATCGTTCGTTGTAAATTGCAAATATCTCTTGTAGTTTCTTGGCAATTGGCTAAATAGAAGACTTTGGCTATTTAGACTGTTCACTCACCGACGGCTCCTCGTCAGGCCGTGCCTCCATTTCCCGAGCAGTTTTTCTGTGCCACAGTGTCATTATCTAAAAGTTTTGCTATCATTTTGCTATGTATTTGACATGTCCCTTGGTTTGGGACTCAGTCATTTTATGCTGATAAGTCTCAGGCTGATAAATGTGACCTTTTAATCAGACATAAAAATCTCTTTGATTTCAAAAGGCTGACATTTAAAATTTAACTCATAACGCTGGCCAAATACGACGCAGAATTTTACGCTGTATCCGATGCTGCTATCCGTTTTTGCAAAATGATTTGGAAACGTGAAGATTCTGGCAAAAAGTTTGAGGTCAAATTAGAGAAACAGTTCCTATATAACGCTTCTGTCACCGTCCGGAAATGTGAGCCTGTGGTGTAGTGGATAAGAGCCTTATTTCTGAAAAAAACTATCATATCTTTGCTCGGGTTCGATGGCGACCTATTATTTCCATTTTATTTTGATTTTTAACCGCTCGAATTCGCTCTATTTTTTACGATTAGCTTCTTAAGTCCCTTTACCATATTGAATTGATTTTCTTTGACTAAACTTGACAATAAGTGTTATGACATGTTTAGGAGTACTAGGGCGTTGATGGGATATCAACGTCTTAACTAGGCCAGATGAGGCACGATTACGAATTCGAGCGATAAAACATTAAAATAAGATGAAAAGAAAAAGAAGGATCGAACTCGAGTAAAAACCTTGATAGCTTGCTTCCGAAACAAGACTCTTACCTACTTATCTAAACCCACATTTCGAGACGGTGATTTTTGACTGATTTTTGACCTCTAATTTGTTTTCAAACTTGTTTTCTAGATTTCTAGATTCCGAATCATTTTGCAAAAACGGATAGCAGCATCGGAATCAGCGTAAAATTCTGCGTCGTATCGAATATAGCTCATGCCATTTGGCCACCTCAGCCTTGTGACCTTCCCTTGTCAGCTGGTTGGATCAGCAATTTTGTAAAGATTTAGGAAAATCTATCGACCAACTGGAGAACCTGTGCTCAGATCTAACCAAGATGCTCTCTAATAACACCTTTTGCTTTCGACTTTCATTTTTTCCTTTTTCCGGCGACGTATAGGCACAGCTGTCCTCAATTGAGAGCCTAAATTTGCATTTGCTTTTTACGATTAGCTTCTTAATTCCCTTTACCATATTGACTTGATTTTCCCATGGGTAATTATCACGAGCGGGATTGTATAAATTCTAGACACCACGTCGGGCATATGAATTCGATGGTAGTCACCGATTGATTCCTGTAAACGATTTTGATATTACTCAATTAAAAAACGTACAACTTTGACCGGATCATACTCATTGTAAATTTGTGGATACAGTTGACAGCACATCTTCACTTCTAAAACGTGGAAATGAAATTAAACCAAGATTTCTTCTCTTTTTTTTCTGTAACTTCTTGTACTCACAACCTTCTGGCGGTGAATTGAGCAAGTCGAGAATTGGAGGGAGAATGTTTTCGATGTAATCCAATATAAAACTATATCTTTCCTCGAGAAACTCAAGCCTAAGAAAATGTTTTTTAAAGGATGAGAAAAGCTTGCTACCATTTGTCGCCATCAAAATTTCGTTTTGCTTCAACGTGGACCTTTTCCCAGTCTTTTTCAAAAGCATTGAACATGTGAAAACGAATGTTGAAGATCTCGAATATTTTTGACTTCAACGAGTTACACTGAAATAATCAACAAGTTATTTTTGCGTAGTATTGCAAAATGTTATGACAATGCCAAATTAAAAAGCGAAGTTGTACTCTGAAAATTGATCACTCTTATAGCATTGTACCCGTTGATCGATCGATCTACTCGAGTTTCCAGCGCTCTTCATTTTACTATCAAGCCATTTTGAAGTCAACTCCTTGAGAAATTCCACTTCACCTTTTCGTGTTCTCCAAATCGCTTCTATCTAAAGCAAAGTTTAGTTTTTGAATAAACTTTTCCATAACCTGTTCCCTTCTTTCTTTAATGACAACACTTTCCGGTGAAGTGTAAACAACAAAATCGTTGATCCTAAGCACAGAATCTTTGTTTTTTATGAGAAAAGCTGTACCAGAGTGTGCCAACATCTGGATTCGTCAAGATTACATTCGATAAACCATAAATCAGCTGGGCAACACTTGTCACTTTGATTTTCATGTAGTTTGGGATGGTTTCCTGAAAAATTGTGGTTTAAAAAAAGGCTTTTTTCACATAATCTTTTCCATTCCATAATCAAAAAGACTTTTTTAAACCCAAGAACAACTTGAGATTTTCTTTTTTCGAATTTTGTTGTGAAAAAAAATGAAAATAAATCTTACAAACGCACAATTTCACTTGGGGTCTCGTAGAGCTCGTAGTTTCGACAAATGAACCGGATTTCTAAAGATTTTTGTTTTTAAGTTAAGATTTTAAAGTCTGAGTTTACAGAAAAAATAAGAAAATTGAATTTCAAGCGTTTCCAACAAACCCTCATTGTTCAAGCTCCACAAATTGAGCTCTTGTGGAAGTGCTTTCAACAAAAAGTCAACCAAAAAGTCACATCGCTCACCGTAGATCGTTTTACTGAAAGATTTGAATTTGAAGTTTTCTTTATCAAACGCACAAATCAAACGGGGAGACTTTATTCTGTGATAGTCTGTTGACTAGCAGCATAATCCCATATTTGAGAGAGTCCACGTATTCCGGCCAGATGTAATAGTTTGTGCGAAAGATCTCCACAATTTCTTCCAACCTTTCATCACACATCTGAAAATTATTTGAAAATATGCAATAATGAATCAAAAACGCTTGTTTATTTTGGGAAACAAGAGGCAAATATTGCACTTGTAAAATCTTAAGGCTGTTTTAAGCAAGCTTTAGTTACAATTATGAATCTTGTTCTTTTTTTTTGTTGTTCTTCAATTGGAAATCAAGTTCTTTTTTGTTGACTTAAAATCATAAAATTTTAGATATTTTATAGTCGTTTTTGTTTTAAATTGGATAAACTATGGTTGAAGCTCATTGAACAGAAATAAATTGAACATAAAGTGTACTTTACCTCTTTATAGCACTTCTCATAAATCGCGACATAAGCAATCGATTCAACGTCCATGTTTTCTAATAGAACCAAAAATAAATTTGAATCAATGAACAGGATTGAGTTGTTTTTTTGGGGGTTGCTGTTGGAAACTGGCTACCTAATTGAGAAGGAAAGAGAAGAGAAAGTGAAGGAGAAGGAAGCGAGGAAGTGAAGCCTCAACTCGGGAGTTCCGGCGAGCAGTTTTCGTGACATTAAATCGTGACGTGACGTGACATCGTGTCGTTTTAAGTTCTTCAAACTTGAATCAAAAGTCGGTTTTGTTAAAATCGAGTTTTCTGGATCTGAAAAAAATGTCTCTAGTACCATTGAAGTAATCTAAAAATAAAATTTAACAGTTTTTCGGTCTTAAAACGGTACTATCTGAAAATTTACATTGAAAACGAGGTTTTACTGCTCTTTTTCTTTTAGAGATATTTGTTTATTCATGATCAAACCACAAAAACAAACCAGGAGATAAGTCTTACGATGATTTTCTCTGTCGAGAACTAATCGACGAATGAGACAAACACAAGAAACGTGTCGCTTTGACCGATTAATTCTCACAGAGACAGAGAAGATCTCTGACATTTCTCGGCTTTACGTCTGTCAGTCAAACGAAAGAAAACTCAAAATGATGTTCAAAGCCGTTTACCTGGTTTTTCTCTTTCTTGGTTGGTAAAAGTGCCTAACTATAATAATTACATTTTTCAGCAAAAGGAACAGAAATAACAGAACCTAATCCTTTTGTGAATTATGCAGAAAAATGTGCGCACAGCTGCTTTACCAGCCGCACAGCGGTAGATTTTACATTATCATCTATAAACAAAATACGCAAATTTTTCGGACCAATTCATAGTTTTTTTTTTGTTCAGAAATGTGGCATTGGAATGTAGAGAAAAGTGTTAGAGAATGTTAAAAGCTTTTAAAAAAGAATTTTATTATCCCCACGCTACTTCTTTATTCGATTTCCGGTTTCAGGTTTTGTCAGATCGAAATTCCAAGACCCGGGATTTCGAAACCAAAAAATGACAGCTTCTAGCTTTTCTCGGATCAATGGGACGTTGTACGAGAAATTGTGTATTGTTATTTACAAACTGGATACTCAAAACTTTGTTGCCTCATTCATTTTTGCTTGTATGATTACGGGTTGAGTGCTGCTTGGGTAAAAAAAAAAACAAGTGAAGACAGTTCTTTTCTATAAGTACACACAATAAGCTGATAATTTTTGTGGAATACCCTTTAAAAGTTGTTTCAAAAAAGTAACGCTAACAACTTTTCAATTTCTTTTCACTCCAGAGCAGGATTGTTTAGATAAAATGTAAATCCCAAAATTTTAGGCACAGCTCGACCCAGAATCAGAAAAACAAATCTGAAATGGTTGTCATCTAGATGGTTCCCCGATTCATATTTCAAATCTGTTGTTTCCTTTTTAGTCTTGCTCTTGTTGTGAAATCGTTGGAAGACTGTCAACACCAGAATTGCAGAAAAATTGGTGAAACGTATCTGATCTACTTTCAAGTTAATTTGTTTAACCCATCATTTATGCACAAGATCACTTATCTACTTAAAAATTTCAAAACCATTTTTGTTTTCACAAGTAAAACAGAACTGGGTTTATCCTTTCGTTTCCTGAAGCAAATGCCGCTGACAACACTGAAATTGAAACTGTTTGATGGTGAAGTTCTGCAACAAACTTGCACACACAAAAAAACAGAAAATATCTATTGAAAGTGAGCAGATTTACAAGGATTCGTTGAATATTGACCCCAAAGAATAGTTGCACGATGATTTGTATGACCCAACTGAGAATCGTACACGTAAGTACGTAGCAAGAGCTGAACAGCATCTGAAAGATTGAGACTTAAAAATGACTATGATTAAGGGAAAAAGGTTAGTGTCCCAGGCTCACTTAACTCTGTGCTAGAGGGCAATTTTTGTTTGCCAAATAGGTCCCACTGGAAAAAACTAAAATCGGATTCGGAAGAGCGTAAAAAGCTCTAGCAGGTACACTAGATCTCATTTTGAAAGGCCACCTTGACCTGGTATCTTACCAAGGTTGTAAGGCCCGCTCTAAGCTCAGAACTAGACATGGAAATCGGTTCGGTTCTGAACCGAATCGAACCGATCCGTCCCTTGAATCATCTCAAAACCAAACCGAAAACCAATACCTCTAAATCGATTCGGAACTGAACCGATCAATTTCGAACTGGTTCATATCTCTACTCAGAACTACGGATTTGGTATTGGTTCTGGAGCCAGAACCGCGGTTTTGAGCTTACTGGCCGTCAGAACCAGTTCCGGCTCAAAATGCTTCGATTATAACCCCAGATCAAATAGTGCCCCACCTCTTTGAGGTCTTCAAAGCCCGGCGCACTATTTGAAGAAATACGGTACATGAATACACAGTGAAACTGTACCTGAACCATCAACAACTGTTCAGTCTTCGTCGTCTTTTCACTCCGAATCAACTAGAACCAACTTTTAAGACCTTCAGCTTATTTTACCGTTTTCATTGCCCGATTTGTCACCAAATCCATTGAACATTGCATGAAATAGGGGATACCGAAAACAAGGATTTGTAGATACGATGTGTCGTGAGCGGATGAGGTGGCCCATACAAAGAATCGTCTCAACCCCATCCCGATCACAAATGGAATCACAAGTTGAGCCCATGGGAAACGAAGGGTCGAGTGAAAGTACTGACCGTTTAAGGCGACTGCGAAGAAGCGGCTGGAATGCTTGAGTTAAAGTTTAAAGCAAGAGAATTTGATCAAAACATAGTTTAGCCTGGTTGAACATGACTTTGGTGTTGGCCATGCTTTCCAAATTCAAGTAAACTCCCATAGGCATCAAATTGGGCCCTTCAGACAATTTAGCTTTAAAGGTTTTCAAAAGTTTTTCTTAAAAGACCAACTCATTTTACTATTACCTCACAGAGATCATCAACTGGCAGTATTGAGCTGAATCGAAGAAAGCATATTGGGAGATATTCATTGAAAACCATGACAATGAGCTCAAAACGATTGATGGACATCTAAAAACGCTAAAAAAAGCATTCTTAGTCTGACCAACTGTATGTTCGTACTGGACATTTGACAGAAATTGGGTAGACCATAAAAGAAAACAAAGAAGAGCTTGCTCAGGTTCTCTCCGAAAGCCAGTAATCTGAAAAACGATTGAAAGGTAAATACAAAGTTTTCAGAAAGACTGATCACACATACACAAAGTTGGTGATTTTTAAATGTGTGTTGAACACACAAAAAGAACATTTATTGGTTACAGAAAACTGTTAAAGCTTGACTGATCTGATTTTTAAATGAAATCCTTTTACTTCTGGTTGACAAGTTGCGTTTACCGAATCGGAAACGCTAAACGATCGTTCATCAACGAATAGTAGCCAGCAATTATATTGAGTGGAAGACTTGATACAATCACCTAAACAAGTTCACAGCTTTTTGGCACAGTCGTGTCTCTCACCGCTAAAGAAGCTGTGCTGATCCAATCGATTGTTGTGTTTACAAGACCGATATTCAAAACATCAATTGTTGATAACATCAAAATTGAGAAATTTTGTTTACAAATGATTGCCAATAGTTCATTTATTGCTGAAAGATCACTTTTGCTACTTTTTCTCTGTTGAACTCACTTGTTAAAAGGACAGTTCCTAAAAGAACGTAAAAAATGTCCGAATATCGTGAATACAGCTTTTGCATTTAGCAAGACTTTTGTTTTTTGAGATCCGGGCTGAAAATGTGAATGTTTATTGTAGTCTAATAGGCTAGAAACATTCTTAAAAAGTTAAAAATCTTGGTTTTCAATATTTCGTTTGAGATTAAACCAAAAACTTTTGAGCTGCTCTATTTCCTAGCGAAATATCTGATATTTCGATCTGATCTATTTTCTCAAAGTCAAATTGAGACCAAGGCCAGGTCATCAGAATTAAATGACTCAGAACTGGAAAAAACATTGCTGCTTAGGTTGTGGACTAATAAAATTTAAAGAATTGAAATTGCCACTTGAGGTTATAAACCAAAAACTAATACTCAGATCCGACCGGAGAAACCATTCTTTTTTACAAACACAAACGGTTTATCTATGATTATCATAATAATAATACTTTATTCAAACGATAAAGTGAAAAGAATATATCAAGAACAAAAAAACCAAAAATGATTAAAAAACAACAAACTTAGTCAATCTTTTAGAAGCAACAGTATTGTCTTTTGACGCAAAGTTTTTAATCAAAGATTTCGACAGGTGAAACGAACTAAAATGCAACACCGAAATTATAATCAGTTTTTGTCGAGAAAAAGGCGTTAATTATAGTTTTCAAGAGATTGATTATGACCAGGGGAGCAATGAAAGAAAGATTAAAACAAAAATTCAACTGGAAATGGAAGTCCACGAATTGAGCCAGAATTCTGACTAACCAGATTCCATTTAACAAAGTAAAAAGTCACTGTTACTTTTTCAGGAAAAATTCGATACAACAAATTGGGTCAGAGATTGGAGATGTCTCAAGTAGCGCGGCTACAAGCAACGTACCAGCTGTTCTCCCATGAGCATGAGACATGGCTTTAAAAAAATCTAATATAAAAAGTTCCATAATAACTTCATAAAAGTCAAAACTGAAAACTTTATTTAACTTTGTAGACACAAATCGCGTATGCTCGGATGGCGTCCACGCAACGTGCTCTCCAGTACTCGACGCCGTCTTTTTTGATCACATCTGCTCTTTTCAAGTCGATTCGAACCTGGAATCGAAAATCTATTGTTGATTTTTTTAAAGCATTTGTTTGCCTTTCAAGTCAATGTTTTTAAAAAGAGTTTTGCTCCAAAATAAAGTATTCAAAAGGGGCCGAACTTTCTTCGCAAACATTACCCAGTTCAATCAAAAAGACAAGCCAAGACCAGTCTTGTCGGAAAAAAAACTTTTTTAAAAGCTGGTTTTCAGAAGAAGCCAATTGCTCTTTAATCTAAGTGTTTATAGGAAAGCCAACCTGAAACAGCAGTTTAAACGTTTCTCCCTTTGAATCGCTGTACTCTTTTGCGAATCCGAGAGCAACTTTTGGATCGTTAACAGTGTGAATTCGAGCGGACGGATTGTCGGGAGGCTGAAAATGAGAGTTCTAGGATAGATAATGACAATGAGATTAGTGGACGTATCTACGCATTTCGATCACATTAACTTTCCACAACTCAACCTGTTTTAGATCTCACCATTTGAAAGCCACCTCTGCCCACGATTTCGATTGCTTGCTCGAAAGATGTTCCGTGATATGCAACTGGCCATTCACCTGTTTCCTCATCACATTCCCTAAAAAGGATACACTGTTAAGATATCTGTGGTCTTGTTTCTAAAAAGAAAATTCGGCTCCTGCGTAGTTTCCGGGTATTTTGGAAAAATCCAGGTATTTTAAACGGGTCATTACGCTTTGAAGGCCTATAACTTTGTCCAGAAATAATATTTTTGCTAACTTCTTATGTCGTTGTAAAGAGAACATTTTAGGCTTTCAAATGATACTAAATAGAGATTGATTGGATAATCCAGTCCAAGAAAATCACAGACAACTCTGAGCAAATGAGACCTATCCAACTCGGGTGTCGTGTCGCCTTGTTTGCATGGGAATGCAAAATCCATTCAAGCTTTATTTGATATCATTTGAAAACCTGAAAAGTCCTCTTTGCAACGACATAAGAAGTTAGCAAAAATATTATTTCTGGACAAAGTTATAGGCCTTCAAAGCGTAATGACCCGTTCAAAATACCCGGATTTTTCCTAAATACCTTCGAGATTCTTTCAAAATACCCGGAAACTACGCAAGAGCCAAAAATTCAAACCTATTTTTGTTCGAAACTAACTTGTGTGAAAGTAAAAGTCAGAAATCGTACCTTTCATTTCCGATTCCCGCAATCCACTCGTTACTCTCATGGTTCCCAAACTCCAGCAGATTCAGTGCAAATCTGAAAGATCCAATCGGCGGATGATATTTTGATCCACCACGAAACTTCAGAATTTCTTCAACATCTCGAAAATCTTTGTCTAATTCAGGCGAAAACTTTTCGGGAAAAAGATCTCTTGGCGGGCAGAAAGAGTCCTAACAATTGATATTTTTAATTTCAACGTTAACATTTACCATTTCAAGTTTCAATCAAAACAAAAATTCCAATATCCTTTACAATTTGTCTTGAAAAATTCAATAAAAGCACAAATTTTGAAGAAAAAAAAGGCAAGATAACGGGCAAAAGAGACTCGAGAAAGCGAGTATCGATCCCCTTTTGTGGGTGCACTGAAATTACGCAAATTTAGTCGTAAAGGCAAAAAAGTTGGCAAGCTTCTTTATACTTTTTTGTTGGTTTTAAAAATTTTGTTTTCAAATGGGTGTCGAAAATATTGAAGTGATCCGTCGAGGCGGTTGCGGTCAAGTTTCCCTCCTCAAAAACTACAATCCGTAAGTAAATACGTCACTCTTGTGAGCATAGCCTTTTCAAAACAAATTTCTTGCACAAAAATGCGTATTAAGGTTTTTCAAATTCTATTTCATTAAAAAAAAGCTTAAAATTGTAAAATTAGTTAATCTTTTCAAAGTGTTCAGTTCGGGTATCTTTTTCTTAAAACTGAGAAGTTCAGACTTTTTCCGGAAAAGCGTATTTTCAAACAAAATATCCAACTTCAGGCCAATTGTGATGAAAGAAATCGAGTTGAATCCCCACTACGAGGATCAACGAAAAGAGCTACTGAATCTGTAGGAGTTAGTCCACCAAAACGTTGTCGAATTCAAAGATCGACCCATGGTCTGCCGATGAAAGTCTGGTTTCTGACAGAACTTGTTGTCGAATAAATGTTTTTATAATCTATATTTGAGAGTTCTGATAAGAGTTCTGTATAAAGGGGAAAGATGTTTACCGATAATCATTTTACAATCAAAACTTTAGCAAGGTACGTTTTTGATATCCTCTCTCCTGGCGATCGATCCCTCGCCTATCCAAAGAGTTTTGGATAGGCGAAAAAAACCACCAATTGTCTTATTTCCATCGAATTGTTAGAGTAATTTTAATTTTTTTCGGTAACATTTTTCTTGCACTGAAATCTCGTACTTTGGCTTTGAAGTTTGGGGAACTTATTAAAGGAAACCTATTGGCTCACCAGTTAAAAATAGATTACTTAAATGTGAATAATGTAAAACAAACAAAAAGCTTAACTCACCACACACGATTTAATTAGCCTTAGCAATTCACCGGTGACAGGCGTCTCTGTAAGCGATTCTGTGGTGGGGTGTTCGTTGAACAGCATCTGCGCCAGACGATCCATCCGTCGATGCATAGATCTCATTGCCCTTCGACGAGAAGAGTCACACAAAAAGGCGCCATCGCAACGCCAGCGGATAGATATTGCTAAGCGCCTGCTCGGAGCCCAAACAAAATGGCGTCTTCTGAATGGTGACTTTATGAGCTTTGCCGTGAAGCTTTTGCCAAACTTCCATTGTTGGGAGGGTATAGATAAGAGGAGCTCTTTAAATAGATTATTCTATCGTCTCGTCACTCTTTCAGGAACCAAATATTTGCAGATAAATAAGAGAATTGATAACGACCTTTTTTAGAGGGATCTGTCTGATTGAACATATTCACGATTGATCCTGTGTCTGATTGTAAATCTCTTTCCACTATAAAAAGAAGGATTTTTGCAAAAAGACGGTGTGAAATTTGACGGTATGTTGACTTTGTGCAGTGCAGTGTACACCCACGGAGAAAATTATATTGAGCTGTTGTCGACTCGCTTGTTTACTCATTATTGAACTAATTTTTGAGTTTCTTTATAGAAAATTAGACAATGTTAAGTTCTTTTAAGAAATTTATACCATGATTTGATCAAAGGTTTGACATGTTACTTCAATTCCATTAACATTTTGCTTTAGCTTTAAATTAAATAACATTGTTACATTTTCAGTGTATCGTCAAACAATTAGCAACTCTAAAAGTTTATGACAAAATATGAAGTTACGTATAAAAATGAGATGGTTTTACTTATAAACAATCAAGCAATATGCAGCAAACATAGGCATATCCTATTTACATCTATTTACAATACGTTCATCGCTTCACAGTCCTTTAGACGGGTCCCGAAGCGATACCGACAGCGATAGCCCCGTAGTAGGCACCGACTCCGATCCCAGTCGCCAGGCCACCTAAGGCACCCGGCAGTCCTCCAACCACAAGCCCACCAATTAAGCCGACTGGAGCTGAAATTTTGATGAGAAGGCTTATGGGTTCTAGATTACCGTTGGATGGACTGAATTTAGGATGAACTAAAAACTGGATTTGCCGTTGTTACCGTTAAGCATCTCTACTCGTTACTTATTGAAGAGATCCTGGAAGACCCAGTTGTAATTGAAATTCAGACTGTTAAAGCTCAAATTAGTGCGATTTATGCACATGAGACCAAACAAACCTTAAAACTGTTAGGCTGCTAATGTTGCTGCTAAAAATGAGTCTCTACTGCACAACCTCCAATAACCGCTCCACTGAGTCCACCAATGACAACTCCCCAGACGCCCATCGCTTCTGTGATGTTATCAGATAATGTGATAGTCAAACGAGAAAATTTCGTGCTTGGAAATCTTTGTTTCTTTTCCCCCTTTTTATAGACCAATTATATCAGCTAACTGTTATCAATGCAAACTGGTTCATTTCACTGTTGACGCCAAATTTACGGTCATTATCATTGTTGTCTAGAGCTTTTCGAGTTTCTGGCTGCTTCTCGAAGGGCGTTTTTGAAGGTAAACAGTTACGATACTTGTTGTTTGTACATTGCCCAAAGTTTCGTCATATGATTCAACAGTACAATCCCATTATGTCTTCGGTGAAGCTTTTCTCAACTTCGCAGCTTAATGAATTTGGTGGTCTTCTCAACTCAAAAGTCCTGTATCTTACTAGGGATACTCACAGTTTCACCAATACCTTTTAAAATGAGCCCTAACTACCAAGGGCAGAACTGGGCATTATAAGCTTGACGAAAATGGTGTGCCAGAAACTCCAAAACCTTTCAAAAATTATATATGTTGTATCCGATTTGGATTGAACTCATCGCGGATATCCGATTTGGATTGAACGCACCGCGGATATCCGATTTGGATTGAACTCACCGCGGATATCCGATTTGGATTTCGATCCAAATCGGATATCTGATTTGGATTGAAACATGATTTCACAGTAGGGTGTCATATTTTAAAAGGTTTTTAATCATTTTCTAGAAATGTTATAGAGGTTTAACTCTGGCAACCTAGAACAGTCCGTTAGGACCACCTTTGCCCAAAAAAGGCTTTCCTGTATTTTAATGTGAATTCAATTCAAAACCCTTTATTTAATTAGCGGCAGCTTTATCGTAAATGAAAATAATCATAAACAATAAAATCACCGGTTAAGTAAGCAAATTGATGAAACTACACCTTAAACGATAAAAACATTGTAACTAAACAAAATGTAATTGTGACAATGTAAAGAAAAACATGGAAAAAACAACTATTTGTTCTTGCAACTAAGACTGTGATGACATCCGGAATTGCAAAGGAGACCACTTTTTTGCAGGCACATCGGTTTGACGACCATCCACCAGTACATAAGCACTGTCTGTGACCTATACGTACCCACCAGTTAACCAAATGAAATTTAAAACTACCTTGCTTCTCGTGAACCGAAGATTCACCAACAGCAGCACGAAAAGCAGTCGTTTGATCGGGAACATCAACGACGGCAATGAATTCCGTTTCCCCTTTCACCTTTCATTCTGTCTTTGCGTCCGTATTGGTTTCACCACGACTGTTCTCTTTGGATTTTGACGCATCATTTCGCATTCTTCGCAGAGATTGACGAATAGAGCAATTATTTCTCTAAAAGAAGGTAAAGCAAAAGCACAGCCAATTACATACTTTGAAATACCATAAAATTCTCTGAGTCCTTTCCACATTACGCATATCCCTGCATGTCCAAGTTTAACATGCGTTTTGGAAAAAATGTTCAAGAGTTCTTCTTGTTGAATTACTCGTTGCCTTTCTGGTTCGCTACCGGCTTTCCGTCGTTTGTCTTCGTGATAAAGCGTGACTCCCGTGTTTTCGATTGAAAGAGTGTATCGCTTCAGCAAGTGGGCTTCATGATAGTTCATTTTTGAAGTCTCTAGGGTTGAATCGTTAAAATTTTTAATTTTAAAATCTACGTGAATACGAGTACTGTACGAATACGAAACCAACAGTTTAAAGCTTACGACTCGACTATGTTGATGCATAAGAAATTCCGCTTTTCCACAAACAAAAAATTTGATATAAAAATGCCTTTAGGTAACAATTTATTTGAAACAATAAGCACCATCGTTATCTATAACATCCTCTTATGCTCCCATAATCTAGTCCGGTCACGAGCAAGGGACCATTCTACCTCCATCCACGGGTGGTTCCGTAAAACAGTAGCCGTCCAAAACATCCTTTCGGTCTGGGGCTCGGGACTATTGGTTTTCCATCCCGGGCCGGCCGCTCTACTAGGTTGATGCATAAGAAGCTTTATTTGGTATCATTTGAAAGCTTAAAATGTCATCTAGTGTCATCTAAAAATCGAGAACTCGCCTCGATTTTTCGCCTTCCACCAAAGGCGTTAGGCATCAAGCCAGAATGCTTAATTCTGGCTCTACAAACTCTGTCTCCAAAAATTTCCATTTACACTCTCAGCCAGAGAACCGATGTGCGAGTGGACACCAAAGCATACGAAGAGCGAAGGGGCTTAAAGAAACAACTCTTACCAAAATCAAAGATTCATCTTTTCCTTCAATCATTCTTAGCAGTTTTTCTATTTTGATTACAGGTTGCGGCATTCTAGAAGCGCTCCTCGCAGCTTGAAATGACGAATTGTATCTAAAATTATAAAGTTAAGATCGAAAAGAATAACGATTGTAAATCGCAAAATCCAGAAAAAAAATAAGAAATGAATGAAAAATTGTCTGTTTCGCACCAAAAACACAAAGGTATTCAGTTTAACAATTTGTATGTTTTTTTGATCAAGTGCTAATTTTACTTTGACTTCGCCTTGACTTTTCATTGGCCTGGCTAAATTCACAAGGCTAAGCCAAGTAAATTGGAAGCCATTGGCCTGGCTTGGCCTGGCTTTAGGCTTGGCCCTGCTCCACCCCTGATCCCAGCCCTTTGGACCTTTCAGAAAATTCATTCCGGTCTTTCAGGTCGTCAAAACAGTCATTCCTGTCCTTCGGGCCGTCTAAACAGTGATTCAGGCCGCTCGGGCCTTCAAAAACTTTGATTCCAACCCTTCTGGCCGTCAAAACAGTCATTCCTGCCCGTTGGGTCGTCAAAACATTGGCATTGGCATCTTGGCATCGTCGCTCCATTCGTTTTTCCCATTTCCCCAAATTCTAAGCGAATTTATCAATTGATCGGAATGGGTGTGATGGCGGTCAGTCGGCTCATCACGATTCTCCTCCTTTTCCATCAAATCTCTTCGTCGATTCAACAAAGCGATCAATTCGATCAATTCAGGTATTCTTTTCCATTCAAATAGTTATATTTTTAACCATTCAGATCTCCGAATGATCGAGCTGAAATTCCGTGTCGTGATGAATGGTTGTATCTTGAAAACACCGCTTCTTGGTACAAGGTTTGGTGGATGTTGTCAACCAAGATTATCTTCATCGCAAGGCTTTCGCTCAAGAAATAGAGTTTGATGAAGCCGTGGAATATTGTGTGGAACAAAAGGGTCACTTGGTCTCAATTCACAGTCAGGAAGAGAACGATTTTGTTCAGGAACTCGGTAAAAAATCCAAATGTTTGATTTCTGAAAATTTATGATTTTTGTAGCAATTTATGCTTTATAAAACCAAAGACAACCAATATTTATTTTAGCGAAAACTGTTCATTCGCATTCTCTTTTCCCGATCGGAATGAAGGTTGAATTTTTCTCATTAAAAGGCATACATAAATAGAAAGTAATGATTCTTTTAGCGATTTTCGAAGTGGAAGGCTCTTGGTGAAAAAAGATTTGTCTGACTGAGAGTTCATTGATAGAAATAATGGTTTCATTTGGAAACTGGAATAATTACAATAAGAAAAAAGGAGAATCTGATTAAAACATCAACATAAAACATAAAACAAAAGATTTCTTGATTTAGCGAAATCCGTACAATGAAAATTCTTTGGAATGGTTAGATGGTTCGGTGGATTTCACGAATTGGATAGGGGTAAGACCTAGGACAGTTGAAACATCTCCAGGAAAACAACCCGTTGTTTCTAAATCTCATTTGCTGCATCGATCGTAATTGTACGGAAATCGGAAATCAATTTGAATTGGCACGGAAATCACATTCTTGTCCGCTCGAGTCAGCATTTAGCTAAAAAGTGAGATGGAAGTTCGGTGGATTTCACGAATTGGATAGGGGGAAAACCGAAATTGGAGACCCACGCTATGGTGAGATTTTCAAAGTAAAGCATCGATATTGATTTGAATTTCCAATGCAGAATTAATCCGAAAATGTTTGAGTCAATCTAAGGAAATTTCTTTGTGTAAAATAATGCAAAATCTTTTCTCGAAGGATTTTCATCCGAAATGAACACATTTCAGCTTTGGGGCGGCGATGGCAAATGATCGGTCTTTTTTCTATGGGGTATATCCGTTCCATTTATCTGCAAAAGAAGCTCTGAATTTTGATAAATTCTTTGTGTTCCTTTCTGTGAACAAAAACCAATAAATTCTATTTTATCTATTCTTCTGATAACACACAAACATTTCACTTCACTTCGAAACACAAAAAATGTTTATCAGTCACAGTTTCAGCTGGTTGTTGTCATTCAAACTCTAATTCGTCACAGATTGAGGAGAGAAGACAAAGTTAAACAAGAAATTTGTTGGGCAATAAAGGGAAAGGAGGGGAAAGCACGATTCGTTTAGTCATCGGTTGATTTCGATTAAGGAATTTCCGTCGGCAAACAATGAGTTAACGACTCAATCGCATCAGGAATTCTTTTTTGGAAAAAGAAACGCTTATTCTCTCAAGAAAGGATGAAGAGCCTTCGATAGTGACAGTTTCAAGCAACAAAAAAAACAAAAACACCGGCTTTTTCAGGAAACGGAAAATAACGAATCGGACAAATGTGAAGCGCAGGCTTTTGCGCGGGCTACTATGAGGACTACTCCGTTGGAAAGAGCACGACTGAGTGCAAGGGAGGCCCTTTTTGCGTGTGGGACTTTGGAAATTCTGCATTTAGAATCAAAAGTGAAGGTGACTTTTAATTTACAGATTCGAGCAGCGCAAACAGCTCGCAAGGTTGCCTCAGCAGGGGCATACGCTGAGTACTGGAAAGCTTTGGATGAGATCGATGCCAGGATTTGCAAGAGACTCACCTATGCAGATACATATAGCAGAACGGTAAGTGAAAAGCGGTGAATGATAGCGCCTAGCCAACTACTCCATTCAGATATCCAAGACAGTCCGAAGATAGAGCCCGTGACAAGTACCACTCTCGGTACCCATAAGGTAAAAGTTACGAAGACGTGGTCTCCAGATTGGAGCCGGTGATCATAGAGTTGGAAAGACAGGTATTTTAAAAAGGGTACAAATGTGACTTTTCAAACCGATGTACTGGTCGTTGGGCATCAAGTAATCTTGCGCTGTATTCACGGTTATATCTACGATCGACCGTTGATGGAGTTGCCTTATTTGCACTGTCCGCCTCATTCACTCGTTAAGCTCACTCCATTTCCCTCATTTTCTCCCGAGTGTTTGTATCTAAAAGAGATTTTTTTAACAGCTCCATCATCTCTTATTTTATCGCAAGCTCAATTCCAAAAGAAATCTTGTGAATTAAAGTTAAAATAATCTCAGAATTCTCACTTAAAACAAGCCCTCCACTCGTTTTTCAATGTGAATTTCTTTCGGTCGAATTGTTCTCCGGGGATGTCCAATGAGGGAAAGATTACCTAAACAGAAATTGAGACAAAAGCTTGAGTCGAACTGATGAACAGGCTATTCAAGTAGGTAAAACAAACTTGTTCATAAAAATTGTCAATCTTACGAACACTCCCCGATCGTTCTCTCGGCCCCCAATCGGTCTTCACTGGTTGATCCATGATCATCGTCATCACAGTTGAACTAAAACTCCGTTTACCCATTTTAAGTATGAATTTTCGCAAACAACTCTTACCTTTGCAATCTCACAAATGCCGTCTCTTTTCCTCCAGAAAGCCCGAAAATGCTATCCAATCGGGACATCCACCTAAACCACTTTTCTTAAGTCAGCTTAAAACTCAGTAAAAGGTACCTCGATACTTCAAGAAGAGTATTTTGCGAGTTCGTTTTCTCTTTACCATCGACGAGCTGCAAAACACAGTGTCCTAAATGATTTTAAACTTTTAAAATTCATCGAAACACCCCCCACCCTCTCGGTGTTGATGTGTTCTTCCCGAATCGCATCTACTCCATGGCTCCCATCGAAAAGCCAACGCCACATACGTGTAAAATCTTTTCTAAAACGTAAATATTAATTCTAAAACTGTGAAATTTAAGGCATTTAATTAGCTATCTTCATTAAAATTTGAAAAAAAACTAGCATCGTTGAACGATCGTTTGAGAACATGCAGATGTATCGGCGTCTCCGGCACTTTTCGTATCACTAAGTCGTCGGTGTGGGGGTGAAGTTTCTAAAATTACCTTGAATGCACTTACAAAGGAATGGATTACCAAATATTGTTCGCACTCAAGATCACCGCTATCAAAGATAGGCTCATTTTCGCGTTTATAGATGATGGGATGCCAGTGGAATTTCCATTGAGTATCCGGGTACATCTAGATTTTACTAGGGTGCGGTAATATTCAGTGTGGCTGAATGGAAAATCGGGCACTTAATGCCATAAAATTTACTTAAATATCCTTAATCACTTACATAAATCGGTTTCCCGCAATCATTGCTACGTTGAAATGGAGGCGGTAATGAAGCCTTTTTGTCAGGCGATTCACTGACCATTTTGCCTAAAATGTGTAAGTTTAGAAAGAATTGTTAAAATTGACCCATATCCGGACTCAGTGGAACACGATTCTTCAAATTGACATCATCCATCCAATTGACTCGATTGATCGGCGTCATTGCGTGAAGAATATAGAAATAACGGACCTAAACATGGGTAAAAGTTTAATTGCCGCTGTGAAAGTATACCAAATGCAACGCAGTATCATCATAGCAAAAATACACACCAGCCGCCCTTGCTTCAGACTAAAAATCAAGATAAACTTACAGCTAAACTACACATAAAGTACATTATGAATGTGTAACGTATTGCCAATTTGTTCAAACGTTTGTCGTCGGATATGGGGCAAAGATCCGTTCCCTGTGGCCTGATCTCTAAAAAAACAAATTTTTTTTAAACAAACAAGGCAATGAACAACTTATGTTTTAACAAAAACAAGAAACGCACCGATTTCCGGGCATGTAAGACGGATCACAATTCTCTGATCCATAGAATTCGTTTGGCCTTGTATTGATCTCGGAGTTGAGTTGTAAAAATTGCACGCCAACATCCGCGAGTTGCAACTTCTAAATGTGGCAACAATAGCAGAAAATCGAAAAGAATTATACCTTATTCTTCTGGTAATGATCGAAAAAGTCGTATATATATGCGGCCCAACCCCACATTTTGATCTTCCTATTTGAATGAAAATCTCTAAAATTCGAACAGAACATTTATTTAGATCCTATACAAACGAAACTAACGGTTGACAAACATTGCACGTGAAAGAAATATTATCGCCAGGCCAGTAATGGATGTGCTTTACCTAAAGTTTTACTATCTACTGTTTTACCTTTTACCTTTATTGTTTATACAAAGTTTATATTAACCTTCATTGGAAGGCCATTCTCGCTACATTCAGCCACTTCCCGCCTTTGAGACCAAAATGAATATCCCTTAATTAAATTTTATAATTTAGCAAAAGTATAGGCATTGCTAATTTTTATAGTACACCACTGCATAAGTTCATTTACGCCAAAAACTTAACTCAAGCCAGTAACAAGATGGAAATCCATTTATTTCTTCAAACCACAAACCTCCATAATCTCTTTCTGACTTACTTCAAAGTACGACGATCACGAGACGAAAAGAAATGAGACAGAAACAACCTCCACCAAATCATGAACCAAGAAGCGGTTCCTTCAAGATACAACCATCCATGACGAGACGGAATTTCAGCTCGATCATTCGGAGATCTGAAGGGTTGAAAATTTGGCTATTTGAAGGGAAAAGAATACGTGAATTGATCCAATTGATCGCTTTGTTGAATCGACGAAGAAATTTGATGGAAAAGGAGGAGAATCGTGATGAATAGACTGACGGCCATCACACCCATTCTGATCAATTGGTTATTTAGCTTTAAATTAGGGGAAATGGGAAGAAAGAATAGAGCGACGATGCCGAAGTACCAAAGCCAAAGTTTTGACGGCCCAACGGGCAGAAACGACTGTTTTGACGGGCAGAATCGAAGTTTTTGAAGGCCCGAGCGGCCTGAATCACTGTTTAGACGGCCCGAAGGACAAGAATGACTGTTTCGACGACTTGAAGGGCTGGAATCGAAGCTTTTGAAGGCCAGAGCGGCCTGATTCACTGTTTAGACGGCCCGAAGGACAAGAATGACTGTTTTGACGACCTGAAGGGCCTGAATCGATTTAAAAATTGAAAAGTAACCACATTTAAACATGTGGCTTATAGAAAAACTGTGTAATTGATGTTAAATTCAGCTCATAATCGATGGCTTTGAAGTCTTTCAACTCTAATTTCATCTATTTATATAAATAGTGAACTCGTGAGCACATACCTGAATGCAGGAGACAAAAATTTAAATCGTTTACCCCGCACCTACAAAGGGAAAGAAGATGAGAGTTCGATTTAACAGAAGCATAAACCTGAAATGAAATGAAAAAGCTGTTTTGCTCTATTCTCCTTGTATTTTGTCTATGAAGTTATGGATGATTAAAGAAAAGGTTTGGGAGCAATTCTTTAATTTGAATTGTGTTTGTCATAATTTCAACACAAAAATCTTAAATTTATTTTTTTACAGAACACGAATTTCTCCATTTTCACATATCTTCAGTTTTTCCATACAATGAATCATTTTATTCAAGAAAACATTTAATTTCAGAAATATAAGAGCAGTTTACTCGTGGGTTCATTTTTGCGTTAAAATTAGAGAAACATTATATCCCATTATTAGGTCTGCTGCAGTCCAACTGAAAGTCAAATAGCCTTAAGTTGAGCTTGACCTGTTAAGCTTACTATTGACCTGGAAACCTTGTTTGATGGCTTGGCTTAGTTTGGGCTAACTATAAATATGAATAGCTATGAATAGTTCAGCTCTTGCGTTTTGCTATAGTTTTGTTTTCGTTTGAACAGAGAAAAACCTAAATAGGGAGGTTCAGTATCGCACAATTAACAAGCTTTTGGGTTAAAGTAAGTATCGAACTGATCGATTCGGTTTTCCTTTTCAAAAATTACAGGTGACAATCAAAATTGACTTGCAAAACAAACAGGTGAAAAAAATGGATTTCCCTTTAAATTATAAAAACTATATGCATATTTGAAAGAATTTGGGTCCACTTTTACCCAACAAAAATGTTTAATGAACCAACTTATTATATTTTATATGAATTTATTCTATCTTTTCTTTCAATGCCAATAAATTTCTATACTTTATATTGTATTGTCAAGAAGACACCGGTTGAGATGAAAGAATATCAAATACCTTTGATGGTTTCACAGGTTTGAAGATTTTATCCAGTTTTATGCAAACTGAATGCAGCTATTTGCAATGACATTGGATCTCATATTGTTATTAATCAAGCCTGAGTTGAATTTCCCGGCAATTGCTGGTCGAATTTTTGGTGTCTGGGAATCGGTGTTCGGGCTTGGAGCAAAACAGGCACTGGTGGGGTAAAGATCTGATTTATAAAAACCTGTGAATGTTTCTGGTAGAATGTTTATGTCTACACAAACCTGGTACATTAGCCCTTTCAGGCAATCGGCGCTTTCTTTGTTGTTTCCACACTTTCTGCTCTCACAAATATCTTCTTGAAGCTACAGAGCCTTTTAGAACCTGACAGTTCGTTCAAGTAAACAGTCAAAACTATTTGAAACTTTCACTTTTTTAGATTTAAACGATTAGGCAAAATGCTATACATGAGTCCATTATTTGTTATCTTTCCTTTATGGTTAGCTGGAAGTATTGAATTACTTCCATTTGAACAAGGCACAACAACTGAAAGCTTTCAAGAGCTTATGCAGGTTGGGATGAGTTTATTAACCCACCAGGAATGTTCCAACCTGGCCCTAGGATTTGTAAGCCAATTCAGAACAGCCAAGGTCAGCCAGGTCAGGTCTGGCTTCACGCTGACCCAGGTTTTTTTAGACTGGATCAAGAAGCCGGACCTGGCTTGGTTTGAGCAAAAATCGGTAATTTTGTGACTTAATTAGATCTTGGTTTATTTAATGATGTTAAATTAACATTAGCTAAATAAATGTGCTATTTTTGACAGAAAATTTGAAAAGTTTTATGTCATTTTGAAAGATTATGAATAAAGAATCTGGTTTCCTAGCCAGCCCTTGGATTCAGGGAATCGACATTGCCCGAGCCTGGCCTGGTAAATTTGAGTTTGGCTCATCCTTGCATAACACCATCTCACCTATATATAATTGCGAAATGTCAGTTCGTCGGCGTCGCGTGCAATGGGCGAATGGTTAGCGCGCACGCAACGAATGCGAGAGGGCCAGGGATCTGCCTCCGGTCAAACATCTTGTAGTCTTGTTACACAAACATTTTGTTTTCCTTCTTATAACACTATAACATAGCACTGTAAAAGAGTCTAAAAATCTTCGCAAATATTTTAGAACCATCCATCGTTTTCTTTTCTCTCAAACATCTCGGATATTTATGTGGCTCGTATTACAGCACTTTACCCACCATACATCCAATTCTCACCTATTTATATATTCTGTGCCGGCATACTGATTTATGGTACTTATGCGATAGGACAAGTGAGATAAAAGATTTATTTAGGAAAACGAAAATTTAGACTTGGATATGTATTGGTGGATGCAATTATACAATCACAAATCATTGCCCACATATGAGCGAGAGAACGAGAAAATTGCAAAAAAACTTTCTCATCGCTTTGTGCATACAGGTAAGTAGCAAGAAGAGTGAAAAATTAGCAACGAACAGTCAACAAGAGCTCAGATACTCCTTGATGAAGTTTCGGTTATCTCCTATCTGAGAGAGTATATTTTGATTTTCTATTTGCCCTAAGCCCCTTATAAGATTAGGTTGGTAACTTGAAGTTGGCTATCAATTGGTCTAAATTGCCGCTATTCTAACTCTCCATCTTCCTGTCTTGGAAGAAAACCGAAGACAAAAGTTTATCCAAATCTTCTAAAGATCATTTTATAAAGAATTATTTGTTTTTTTCCAATCACGCAAATTATAATTCAAACAGCGCATTAATTGCTTCTAAAAGGTCCTAAGGAAAAGCGTTATCAACTTCAAGTTGCCAACTTAATATTTTCTATTCATCACGATTTGTGTGCAAATCTTTGTTTTGAATCTGGTTTCGATCTCTGTCTGCTTTTCGAATCAGTTCAGTTCAGAGCAAATAGAATAAGTTGAGATTCGGTTCAATTTTAAGCTTTAAACTTCTCCAATTCAGCATGTTATCCCAACAGCATCTCTTGGTTTTCCCTGGATCTACTATGCTATTATTATTTTCATACAAGCCGATAAAATCTATCAGTGTAGGTCATTTCGGAACCGTTTTCTGTCATTTTCGGCTTTCATTATAACATCTGTGCCCAGAAAATGTAGCCCATTTAGCTGTGAATAATTTTTTCTTCGGTCTCCTTTGTTCTCACGGAATTTTGGGATCGATTTCATTGATTATTTTGACTGAACCGTATCGACGATTCACAACTACACTCATTCAGAAAACACCGATATTAAAATATTTTGGAAATCATTGCTTCAAGCAAACGAATCAACTAATTATTGTTCCTATTTCAACAAGTGGCGCTTAAAAGACTTAATAAAATTGAACAATGCTTTGCTTTTTAATGTCATATGTTATTTTAGAATCTACTATATATAAAGCAAAAGAGACATCTGTCTATCTGTCACAGGCACTTTTCTCAACGTCTAGATCGAATTTCGAAATGCAGTTTTTTTGTTCGATAGGAAATTTTTTCACACTCCCCGCCCCCCAAAAAATCAGAAAATCTCATAAAGCCGTTTTTTTCTAAATGCAAAAATTGCAAAACTAGCCAGCTGTTGCCAAGCTTTCCCTGCGCAAAAGGCCGAGTGGTTAGAGCGCGCGTCTCTCAAGCGAGAGTGGGAAAGACAGGTCGTGGCTTCGATTCCCTCCGAGAAAATTAGTTTTGCTTTTCTTTTCAAAATAGATTTTAACTGTTGGAAAGTCAATTTCGATAGTTTTCTACTAAAGGGAAGAGACCAAGTCTGTCCAAATGACATGATGCGCAAGATTGTCTACAGGGAAGTTCTCGAATAAACAGTTTTCAGCTACGTTAGCATTTTTTTCAAGCATTTTTCTTTTGTCAATGAGCTAATTGTTTAAACATACTGTATTTTCTTTCAGAGAAGAGCATGCTCTTCTATTTTTTAACTCCTCAAGATTGACCGACCAAAAAAGTCGATACCACATAAATAAAAAAAGCTAAAAATTATTTAAAACTATTTTAAACGATAGCCATTAGCATAAAACGTACAAAAAACGTGTATGTGTTTCAAAGTAAAATTTTTTTACCCGGAACCCATAGCGAATCTTCTAAGAAAATCTATGTGGTCCCCACATAAATTTTTTTCGAAAAATTTCTTAATTTTCTCAAAAATCATGTTTCCAATTTTACTGTCAATGCTAAAATACTTATATCTGGACCCAAATCTATCATTCTACTTTAAAAAGTTCTAAAAAGTCCTAATTTTGAGGGATCAGGATCCATAAGAGAAAAACCGTATGTAGTTTTTCCATTTTCGCAATCAATTAATTTTTACTCCTCTCCGGGGCTGAGTTGTTCAAAAGCTGCACAGATAAGGAATATTCTTGGAAAAGAAAAACGGGTACTTTGCTTCTCAATCGACTCTACAACTCCATTTTTTCCTCTTCTCTTCAACACAAATTTAATCCAATGATCCATCAGCAAAAACAATTTTCATTTAATTCTCTTCCATTTGAGTTAAAGAAATCAACATTTGAGAATATCAGTTGTCCAACATCATTAAATCTTCTTCAAATCAACAAACAATCTAGATATTTCATTTTGAAGAATGGATTGTTTACGAGAAAAATCCAGAAAATTGAATTTGGAAGATCTTTACAAACCTTGAGCGATGATTCACCAAGGAAGAAACTTTGCTTTAAATTGACCCTTGTGTCTGGAGAAGTTACAACTATTTATATTTTTGATGATATGGCAAAAATTAACGGAAAGCAAGTGGCAATTGCAGTGAAATCTATTTGGGAACTTTTGAATGAAATCCGAGATTGTCGAGATATTACAATGGATCTGACACATCAAACTGGAGCCGTGCTTGTCAGAAAAATGAAAAAGCTTTTTGAGATCACGAAATTTTTCCCAAAAATCAGCAATCTCTACAGTTTCGATTTTTCCGGAAATTTCCTAACAGCAAAGGTTTTATTTCAAAATCTGCATTTCAAAATCGAAAATTACATTCGAATTTGGAATAAATTTGAGGGTAGTTTTGAGCCCAACGATTTTGACGATCTCTTTCAAAAAGTCTCATTTAATTCCTGTAAAACATTGCTTTTTGAAAATGCGTCGAAATTTTCCCTTTTTGGTTTTTTGAAAACGAAACCCCAAAATATTCTCCATTTGAATTCAATAAATACAATTTTTGAAGAAAAAATGAATTACTTGCTTCGAACTGATTTTGAATCAAAAGAAACACAAAAATTGATTTGTCTTCAAAGCCGAAAACTTCCACATTACGCTCTTTCAGAACAATTACTTACTGATTGTTTTGCGAAATTTTTAGAAAAAATTGAAATTGGATGTCATTTCGACAGATTAGAAGATGACAGTGATCTGGCAAGCTCTTTCCTCAATTCTTTGCGAATTCAATTTAATAAACAACCATTCTACTGGCTGAAATGTACTTTTGATGTTATGGAAGAATCACAACAACCTGGAAGAGCATTTTTCAAAAGAAGACTTTCATGTGGAAAATCAGCGATCGCTCTTTTTTATCTTACTGGCGTGATTTACCGCAGAGCATGGTATTTACGGAAAACGTTCATCATTAAGGTGATTGAAAATTAATTCTCAAATTGCTTGAATAAATTGATTTTATAATTTTAGTTTATTATATTCAGAACTAAAGCAGATTATCTATCTAGGCTCAGAATCGATTTAGCAAAAGCTAATTAGATTAGAGCTTTATAACTAGCTGCTCAGAAACTGATTTAAAAAGTCGAAGTTGTTTATTTATTTGCTACTTATTGATTACACTGGCCGTTTTTGCAAAAATATATCCAGCTTTTGTTATTGCATCATATTGATTACTTTGGCCGTTTTACGAGATTTGCATTTACATTCGACTTGAATCGTTCTGGCTGAGTATCTCGACAGTTACCTCACCGAATTTGTATTCCGCCTCGCAAAGGACTACGATATTTTGTCTATCTTTTAGCCTATAGCTGCTAGGTTTAGTATGAGAAAATCTAACAAATTTCATTGAAGTGCTTTAGGAAATCGCTTTAGGAAACCGCTAGCTGGAGCTGATCCTAAAAGCCTGTATTAGGTTGTAATAGTAAAACTCATGTACTTTTAAGCATTTTCAGGAGTCACTTAAAGTTTAGACTGCATCATTTTTTCTACAGCCATTTTGTATAGAGACTTTTAAGCATTCAAGTACAGTCAAGCCTTTGATGGTGACATTTTCAAATTCAAACTTCTCGCCATGTCCGTGTCTCCCCATCCGAAAATTTTTTCGTTCTGCACGAGCTGCAAAATTGTATTTTTTAAAATGTTTATATGATAAGGTGCTAAAATAGATGAGGTTTAGGTAAGCAAGTAAAAAACTTGGGCATAAAACTTGAAGTCAACCTAAATGATTCCTTGTCAGAGTCCAATTTCCTTTAAAACTTTGCACCACCCAATCCCATTCACGTTGTCACAATGTACAAAACCTCAAATTTGCCCATTACGCCAATTTCATTCATTTATTCCCCACAAAAAGTTCACATGATCAGAAAAGAAAATGCACACAAACGAGAGAATTTATTGTATCGATGATGTGTCATTTGATGTGAATGAAGAGATGTTGTCCCATCAGAAGAAGACAAAGAAGTGAGGAGGAGGCAAACAACACGAATCCCAACATCAACACCGTCAATGGCTAGGGTTCATTGAAGAGGCACCGCCCGATTCATCGTCACCGTCCTCGGGTGGCTGCGTTGGCTTCGTCTTCGGCTAAAGGACAAAAATCAGGTCATAGTGGCAATTTGAATAGTTTTTGAAAATCTTGATAAGTACAAATGGTGAGCAGCTCCATTCTATTTTGTGCCCAGATACAGGATCCTCTGATGTTTTTAAATCATCCCATTATTAACACCGTCCGTCAATTTTGAAAATTAAATTTGAACTTTGAGAATGTAAACAATTTAAAAAGTTAAAGCGGATCAAAATCCATCAGAATTTTCTTATCCAAAAGTTGAAAAAACCGCAAAAATGAAAAATCTCGTTTAGAAGGAGCTCTTCTATTGGAATGTTTACGCTGTTTTATCTACCAAATCCCTCACCATATTGCACATCTCCGTATCGCAACACATCATCGGCCGATCCCTGCCCTCTGCATCCTTTCCACCCTCAATTCGCACGTTCAGCTTTTGATTCTAAATGCAGAATTTGCAAATTCCCACACGCAGAAAGCGCCTACCTTACACTCATTTGTGCATTTCCCAACAGAGTAGTCGTCGTAGTAACCCGCGCAAAAAGACTCCACTCCGTCCGCTTCACATTTGTCCGATTCCTCATTTTCCGTTTCCTGAATCGAGCATTTCACAGCTTTTTGAAACAACAAACAAACAAAATTTCCAAATAAACCCACCCTAAGGTGACAATTGAAAGGCTTCGGCTTGTTGCAGCGATCCGTGTCACAACAATCTGCAGTGCCGATTCCCTCGTAGAAGTTTGCACCAACCTTCTAAACACAAACAACTCTCTCAATGTTTATAGCCAAACGCTCACCGGGCAATGCCAACATCCATACAACACTTTCCCCGATTTAAACGTCATCGTGACACAATGCGGTTTGTTTTCGGAACAACTTCTCTCGTGCAGTTCTGTATGCTCCGGCTTGGTCCAATTCGCGTAGTAATGGGAACTCGTAACGTAGCATGTGCGCTCTGTGGGAATTTCGTCCGAATTGCTCGACGAAAGGGCAACAGTCACAGTCACCATCAACATCATCGCCACCAAACGTTTTCGCATCGCTAAATTGTTTTTCTATAGAATGTAGATGAAAGGAGAAACAAGAAAGGAAACTTATTGCTCATCTATGCTATACAAAACTTTAGATGATTTGAAACTGAAAAACGAAAGGAAATAAAGACTTTTATATCATTGGGTGAAAAACGATATTGAAGAGGAGGAAAGAAATTACTTCCGCTCAAAATATAGAAAGTCTATTTTGAGTTAGTACGCGCGTCTCAAACTTGTCTTTGAAAAGTGAATCAGTTCGCGAAACAAAAGAAAATGCAATCAATCAATCAAGAAAATGAAAATGCAATCGGCTGCAATCACCCCAACTTGTGTTCATTTGTATGTTGGAATGTTGATAGGATGGCGAGATTTTGATCTCCCCATCCGATTAACATGTGTGTATTTGCTGCTTCATGAATTGCACACGCATTTTGACAAGATTTTCCCAGAAATTTTACTTGCTTTAGAGAAAAAAGCTTTTCCAATCAGTTTTTGCATTAGTTATTGCATTTTCGACCCATGAGAGAAAACGTCTTTATTTCCTTTCGTTTTTCAGTTTCAAATCATCTAGAGTGTTGTATAGCATAGATTAGCAATAAGTTTCTTTTCTTGTTTCTCCTTTCATCTACATTCTATAGAAAAACAATTTAGCGATGCGAAAACTTTTGGTGGCGATGATGTTGATGGTGACTGTGACTGTTGCCTTTTCGTCGAGTACCAGCCACGAAAAAGAGGTTAATAAAAAAAGAGTTTTCCCTGGTAAGTGGTAACAGCAGAAAGGTAGTTTGCTGCTTCACCCTTAAAACCATTGAAATAAAATGTTAGCTTGATATTCTTAGAAAATTGACCAAAGAAGTTTTTAAGCTTCAAGATTCAAAGTTGTCTGAACAAAAACCGGTTCTAGTTACGCCAGGGTTTTCCAAGGTTCCATCGAACGTTAGTTAGTAAAGCGACTCCAATTTTCCGAAACCCTTCGACGATTATTAACGAGGTTCAACGGCTGTATTTGGGTTCAATTGAATTTCAGGAAGTGCCAATCAATTTTGATGCAGCTTTACTCAGGCTTCGCAACTATGCCATCAAAACTGGTTGTTACCAACAATGCATGCAGACATTCACTCAAGGAATCACGGGATGTACCTGCAATCGGCTCACCGGGTCAGAAATCTTGGATCTGTCGTTGGCTCTTTCGATGACAGCTGATGACCTTTTAAGCTAATCGCAATGTATTCAATAAATGTTAAGTTTATTACTTACAGACAACGGAAATCTTAAATCTGATAATTGGATAAAATAATACAGACCGTCAGTAATGAAAATCCAGTAACATATTGCCTGTAGAAGAAGCCCCAGGAGTTTCTGGCTTTTTGTTTTGATATAGCCTTATCCAGGATTTTCTTGACCAAATCACTTCTTGATTAAATTTATATCAGAACTGTGCGAATATTCGGCTTCTGATGTTTTGTTAGGCGCCGAGGGTAGAATCTTAGCTGGCGAAAGTTCGAATTTGAAACTCGGATAATTTAGTTAATCAGTATAGTCCCGGTTTGCACTAATTTACAGAGTATCTCACAAGAGCCCGGATTTTTCTCGAGAACTTTATCTGTAACCTCAATTCATCGTTTTTGCTGGGAATTTGTCTGAAATTCGATCTGAGAATCCTGGGGCCACTTTTATGAAAAAATTCTGCTTTTTTTTCTCTAACACACTCGTGACAAACGTGACACACTATTCCCGTTGATCTAGTAGGAGCAGTACCTGGCCATCGCTGAAGCCCTTCAATCGGAGAATCAAGATATTGTGACAAGAGCTCTACGAGCGACCGAATTCTTCGACGGCACAAATCGAGAATTCACCAATGTTGAGTACTTTTTCAAGAGCTTACTGAAAAATGTGTCACTGAAGACTCAAAACCAAATCATTCAAAAGCTGGCTCGCTGTCTAAAAAATACGACACTCGGTGATGAGTTTTTTAAGGAAACAGAGGCAACTTTTGGAATAGCTCGAGCTAAGGTTCTCCTAACCGCTTGCACGGAACCTTTCATTATGGAAACGATCACAAAACATCGGCTCGTTTTCTCGATTCGTGAACTCAATGTATTATCTCAAAAATATTCCACCTTGATGATCTGGTATTTGAAATTGAGCTATCCATCGCTGTATGACCCCCAGAAACGCTTTAATCATCAAGTTTACATTCATTCGTATCCAACTTTCCTTGTGCGGCTGATCAAGACGAATTTCCAAGCATTCATTGAAATCTATGAGCTACATGGATCATGTCCCCGAAGATGTTGCCCGATTCGATTGACAATGTGCACAGTCAATGATATGTTCTCACTACTAAAGAACTATCCAAAAGAAAAAACTGTTACTTTGATGTTAAAATCCAATGAAAATGCTGATGGGAAAAGTTTACTCGACGACGTGGATAAGGTGTCAGAAAGGTTGATGCGACTACTGCCAGCCGAGGATCGAATTCGATTTGCGAGAATGAAAATTGAGACGCTAAAGAAGCTTGGTCATAACGGAACAGGATGGAGATGCTATCTACCAACTAACGAGGCGCTGTCAGAGATTCGTGAACAGTTGAAGAAGAATCCTGATATGTATGAGAGGCTGAGTCGAGTCACGGAGATGCTGAACTGTTGTAAGATCAATGGCGATCACGAAGCGTTAGTAGAAGTACCGCTCATCAGTTCACTATTTATATAAATAGATGAAACTAGAGTTGAAAGACTTAAAAGCCACCCATTCCTGCCCGTTGGGCCGTCAATACTTTGGCCTTTTTAGAACCTGACAGTTCGTTCAAGTAAACAGTCAAAACTATTTGAAACTTTCACTTTTTTAGATTTAAACGATTGGGCAAAATGCTTTACATGAGTCCATTATTTGTTTTCTTTCCTTTATGGTTACTGAATTGGAAGTACTGAATTGCTTTCATCTGAACAAGGCACAACAACTGAATGCTTTCAAGAGCTTCCCAGGAAACTCCCGGATTTTCCGAGCTTCCCGAGCCGGTATTTGTCTATTTGGTTATACAAAATATGTCATCTGCAGGCATTGATACATGCAGGTGCCCTCAGCGTCAGTAGGGAAGGCTCCGAAGTTACGTTTTGTTGATTCGCAGGGGATGGATCAGCTCCGTCGGTCGGGCCGTGGGAGTCGGTTTAAAAGCCTTAGGGTTCCTCCAATCGAGTGTCTAAACTTCTGGCAGCTAGATGACTGTCAAGTAGCGGACAGCTGACGGAAGCCGGAGCCCAAATGTAACCCGATGGCGAGCAACAGACCATTCTGCCTTCCTGCACGGGCGCCCTGCGAAACAGTAGCGGTTGCACAAACATCAGCGGTTTCCCTCACGGGAGATGTCGACCTCAGATAACAATTTAAAATCTACGTGAATACGAGTACTGTACGAATACGAAACCAACAGCTTATAGCCTACGACTCTACTAGGTTGAGGCAAAAGAAATTCCGTTTTTCCACAAACAAAAAATTTAATTTGAAAATTCCTTTAGGTAACGATTTGCTCAAAAGCTGAACAAATTCAAAAACTTCTTATATCAAAATGTAGAGGAGATCTTCAGCTTTCGAATAATACTCATATATATCTTTTTCTTGATTTCGGTATCTTGAGAAATTTACAAAATAGTAAAAAACGCGCATTCATAACTGGACAACCCAATATAACATCCTCTTATGCTCCCATAATCTAGTCCGGTCACGAGCAACGGACCATTCTACCTCTCTCCACGGGTGGTCCCATAAAACAATAGCGGTTTCACAAACATCAGCAGTTTCACTCACCGGAAACGGTGGAGTGCCATGTTCCAAAACATCCTTTCGGTCTAGGGCTCGGGGCTATTGGTTTGCCATCCCGGGCCGGCCCCTGGGCCCGGGGCGTCGGCTTCCACCAAAGACGTTAGGCATCAAGCCAGAATGCTTAATTCTGGCTCTACAAAATCTGTCTCCAAAAATTGCCATTTACACTCTCAGCCAGAGAACCGATGTGCGAGTGAACACCAAAGCATACGAAAAGCGAAGGGGCTTAAAGAAACAACTCTTACCAAACTCAAAGATTCATCTTTTCCTTCAATCATTCTTAGCAGGTTTTCTGTTTTGCAGTTTTTCTGTTTTGATTTTTCTGTTGCGGCATTCTAGCTTGAAATGACGAATTGTATCTAAAATTATAAAGTTAAGATCGAAAAGAATAACGATTGTAAATCGCAAAATCCAGAACAAAAATAAGAAATGAATGAAAAATTGTCTGTCTCGCACCAAAAACACAAAGGTATTCAGTTTAACAATTTGAATGTTTTTGTGATCAAGTGCTAATTTTACTTTGACTTCGCCTTGACTTTTCATTGACCTGGCTAAATTCCCAAGGCTAAGCCAGGCCAATTGGAAGCCATTCGCTTGGCTTTGCTCAACCCCTGATCCCAGCCCTTTGGACCTTTCAGGAAATTCATTCCTGCCTTTCCGCTCGTCGAAACAGTCATTCTTGTCCTTCGGGTCGTCTAAACAGTTTTTCAGGCCGCTCGGGCCTTCACAAACTCCGATTCCAGCCCTTCTGGCCGTCAAAACAGTCATTCCTGCCCGTTGGGCCGTCAAAACTTTGAGTTTGGCAGTTTGGCATCGTCGCCCTATTCGTTCTTCCCATTTCCCCTAATTCTAAACGAATTAATCAATTGATGAGAATGGGTGTGATGGCCGTTGGTCGATTCATCACGATTCTCCTCCTTTTCCATCAAATTTCTTCGTCGATTCAACAAAGCGATCAATTGGATCAATTCACGTATTCTTTTCCATTCAAA